TTTCAAATTCATGGTTAGAGTATCGTGACATTGAAATTCAAAATCGTACGCCTAAAAAAAATATTTTGGATCTTCTTGGTTTTAGGAGTGAGGTTGCGGGCATGTTGATGAAGGCATGCTTGGTCACACCACAGCTTTGCCGACCTGTTGGTAGACCCAGAGCACTAGCAGTTATTGATGATTTAAATACTGTAATTCCTTGTCCAAAGCGAGCAAAGGCTGCAGAGAGACCAGTATCAGAGGTCCGATATGATCAGTTCCGTCATTTTCCAATCTGCATCAAAGAGTTAGGCCAAAGGTGCAAACTAGAAGGATGTAAAGGTCGTAGTAGGTTCAAATGCACTAAGTGTAATCTATTTCTGTGCTGCAATAGTGACAAAAACTGTTTTTTAAAATTTCACAACAAATGAACATCCTCCATTCTCTACCCATATCGCATTTATTTGTCGCATTTTGCTGTTGTATTAATACAAGTATTATGTAAAAATGCTTTAATACTGGTAGTCATATATTTGGCTATTTAAATAATAAAAAATTGACTTGTATTCAAATTTGACTTGGAATTGTATTATTACTATGATGTTGTCATGATGTGTTATTATTTTATTTTACTGCATTGATACACAGTGTGTACATATGTACACATGCATTAATTTGCATAATTAATGAGCAATGGTCAAAACCTTAATATGACCATATCAGGATGTCCCAAATATCAGGTCCCAACCATTAAATAATTTTTCGTGATGAAATTCTGAGTCCGTCTCCGAAGGGGATAACTATAGTTCTTTTGTTTTGTTATTGTATTAATTACTTAATAAATTAAATCAAAAAAATAAATTATCATTAATAACATATAGATAGAATGCCTTATTTTAATATAAATCAACATGATCGTTTGCGTTTAATTTTTTTGCAGATATTTTTTTGATTATTGATTATGAGTTTAAAGACAATGATCTTAAGGATGTCATTTTCATGCACAAAAGTGAACGCCAGTTCAAAAGTTTTTGTCCCATTGCAACGCCGGCCTTTAGGGTGTGCAACCTGTGCCCTCGCACAGGGCGCCATGGCCCTAGTGGGGCTTGGAGCGCCCAGTAAATATTTAAATTCCCTTAGCTTAGTTTACTCTAGTGAAGTGTGAAGCTTGGGCCGGGGTTGAGAAACGGTATTCTAACTTTTCATACAATCGCTTTTCATACAGTGAGTTTTCATACAATGAAAGTTGCATTCTTAATTTGGATACTAACACTGGGGTTGGGACCAACCTAAAGAGCGTGGAAACTAATTTATTAATATCGTATTTCCTTGTCCCTCTTAAAATTATTTTAGCAGACAGAATATGTGGAACAAAAAGCTTTCCGGGGCGCAAAATCTCAAGCTCAAAGCAGAAAAAGTACTCCTGGATCACACAGGGACAGGGAAGGGGGCGCCGAACGGGCTTTGCACAGGGTAAAAATTTACCTAAGGCCGGTGTTGCCCATTGTACTGCGAAGCTGATTCTTACCTATTATTTTTTTCTATTCATTTCTTGGAAGAGTAAAACTTGTTGATGAGAGTTATTCCCCTTTAAAAGTTAAAAAATTGTCCAACATTGATTCGCATATATATTATTAATTTTGGAATGTGCTGATAATATCATGATTTAAAATTGAGAAATTAGTGAATTTTAAAAACAATTAAATTATAAAACTCTTTCAATATTCATTAAAAAAATATGTAAAGCATGATGCATCTTTAAGAGTGAGTCTCCTAGAAACTTGGGGCCCACAACAAGCGCGGGGCCCTGGGTCAGTGCCCACTGGGCCCATGCCTTAAGACGGCACTGGTCACAGGTTAAAAATGTAAAAGCAAAGGGCAAGGTACATTTTTAAGGGCTAAAATGGGCTTGGGCTAGTGTAGGCATAGACCTAACTAAGTGGCGCCGCAGCCTAAACTTTACTATGTTTTAATAGTGATAGTAATTGATAACAATGTTAAATCCAGTTTTTGGTAGGGCGAGAAGTACCCTAAGCCCTAAGAAAAATACACGAATGGTAGAGCATAGGGTTTCGCATATTTCCCATGATGTTTTGCTCATCCCTGTAAATTAGGTAGTTCGCTAAAAAATATATATATAAATTTACAGTTATATAGAGCCAGAGGAAATTTCAAATGAAAACAAAATCAACTTTCAAGCATTTGTACTTTTTGAGCTATGAATTTTCAAAGTAAGATAAGAGAAGATAAGATTCTTTTATTGATCTAAACAAATGGAAAAGGTTTTTTGATTGCATTTTATATATACATTTAGCACATAAATAAATGGCAGTGTCTACACGTCTGGCGACCGACAAATAATTGGGGAGATATTCTTCCGGCGGGCATGTCATGTGACCGTGAGATGACTAGTAGTAGTAGGTGTTATTATTCCAGTACATGTGTCATGTGAAAAGAGGTCGCTGGCAAAATAGTTGCATTGTATACGATATTCCAATATTGTATCCATATATTAGTCAGCCGATCCCTAGATAAAAAATAAATACTGAATATGTTAATATTTTCAAATGCTCTGAGATACATAAAGTATATCATAAACGTTTGACTTCTAATTAGAACTATTATAATACTAATACCGGTACTAATAGTATGCCTAAATAATATATACTAGTCTATTTGAATCTGACTCTTAAAAAAAAAAGGTCCGTTAATTAGTTTGAATATCTTATAAACCTCTGCCTAGTAGCCTAAATTTAAAATATGAATCCAAAAAAAAAGACCAATACTTGCCAGTTGACTTTCAATAGACCTGCCTCAAAAAAGTTTTTTTTATGCTATTAATATTGCGTGGGAAGTAGGCTACCCCAACAGCACACAATGTTGGCCATATGCCTATATTAAGATGTAAGATCTATTTCTTTGTGAACTATCAACCTCCCCGCCTTAATTATTGATCACCCTCACTATCATTTTTATCCTTTCACTTTCGCTCTCAGTATTTCTTGCCTTTAGTATCCATTGCTCTCCCCCACCCTTATTTGTTGAAATGAAGTAAACTCGTCACCCACATACATCTCTGACACCATTTTTCTGGACAGGATGATGGACAAATATCTCAGGCAACTTTGTTATGGTGGTCATGTGACATGGTCGCCGGACAAATAGCTCGATATCTTATCCGTCCGGTCGCCGGACATGTAGACACTTCGTAAATAAATAGATATATTAATAAAGTCCACTAAAAAAATTTAAACACAAGACATCTACATTAAATTATTTCACTAGTGAAAAAAAAACAGCCATTCAGTAAGAACTCCCTAAGTCATCAGGGACTTATTAGTTCTCATTTTGATTTGTGACTTCTGGGGGAGCATGATGGTAAATTCGTACAGTTTGGGAAACAAAAGAATTTTTATATCTTTCAGGCCTCGTCCTGAGAGAAAGAATTAGTCCCAAATGGGCCGATCTTAAGTATGTGTGATGGAAAGGGTGGGATGTATCATCCAAAATTTTGTTTAGTTTGATTATTTTTTAACATGGATGAAACCTCCACATTTTGTTACACCATTCTGGTGATCGCATTTTAATGTTATGCAATTATAAATAAATTGTAACTTATCTTATTATACTCTAGGTATATCAGTAAATTTAATATAATATATTAATATATGGCTTTTCTGATTACCAAGTCTACATCTTCCATAATACCGGTATGTACTTCTATATATTATATAGTCTATATAAGGCACACATGCTCTTGTTACTAAAATATTGTTTAGGGACTATTTATATTGAACTTTCAATTTGGCACATAACTAATTAATTAAAGCTCTCCCTGACCAATGGTTAAACTCTTATGAATGTAACTCTGAGATAGTACTACGGCATAGCCATCTCATTATATAAATGTCTGTGAATGGCTGCCTATACTATAAACCATGACAACATTTTGCACACAGTAAATTATGATTAGTTATGATAAGGACTCACGGGGTTTTTAAACCTCAGATTTATCTATTTAAACATATTTGTTTGAATTACTTCTAGGTTCATTCTGAAACTCAAGTTATCAAATATTTTTATGTAAATGGTGGTAATAATTGAATATTTCCTAAGCCATTAACAAGGGGGCGTGGCCCACGCCATGTCGAAATTAGGCTAAGCGACCTTATGGTAGTACAGGTTACTGGGACAATCGTAGCGAACGTCGGACACATCCTAGATCAATGAGAATCATCATACATATACATCAATATGTCTATCACATGCTTGTAAAGAGTTTGGACTATCGATTAGTCTACAGAAAACTCATGTAATGATGCAAGAAGCACCGTCCCCTCCAATCATATCTATTGAGGGTCATAATCTTTCGGTTGTTGATCATTTCACATACCTGGGATCCAATATTTCTAGTTCTCTCTCCGTTGTTGAAGAGATAAATATCAGGATTGCAAAAGCGCAGCAACTATGGCTAAACTGAATAAGCCGGTGTGGAATAATTTCAATCTAACTGATACAACAAAAATAAGTGTCTATCAGGCATGCGTGCTTAGCACGCTCCTATATGGTAGAGAAGTGTGGAGCACATATACCAGCCAGGAGCGGAAACTCAACAGCTTCCATCAAAGATGACTGCGTCGCATTTTGCGTATTCATTGGCAGGACAGGGTGCCTAACGTGGAGGTTTGGAACGTGCACACATGTTTAGCATATTCTCCTTTCTAATCAAGAGGCGCCTTTGCTGGTTAGGTCATGTACGGAGAATGGAGGAAGGACGTATCCCAAAGTTACTGCTGTATGGAGAGTTGGCAGAAGGGACAAGACATATTGGATGACCGCGCCTGAGATTTATTGACGTTTGCTAACGAAGCATGAGGGAAGCCAATATTGAATCAAATGAATGGAAGTTCATTGCCAAAAATCGCTCCAACTGGCGAACAACAGTGTTTCAAGAATTTACCGGGATTCACTATTCTCCTGCGAGAGATGCGGCCGTGATTGCCATTCTAGGATTGGCCTAGTGAGCCACTCATCAAAGTGTAGAACTATATAGCTACTCCATCGTCTCAAGAAGACGGAAGGATGCCATTTATATATACATCAATATGTAATGCTTTATAGAAATTGATATGCAAGACATGATATTTAAATTTCTTTCAAAAATTTTGAGGGAAAGAAGCCTTATATGTGTCTATGAATTTCTAAAACTAAGATTGATCAAAAAACGGCAAACAGTAAGTTGAAAAGCAGGCCAAGAAGTACCTTAAATTAAAAAGTTAAATGTGAAAATTTGGAAGGATACCAGTACCCAAAATTTTATGTCAAATTAGACATTTTACTACCGGTAATGGAATATCACCAATGTCCAAAAAATAGAAATTTGGATTCTTCTGCGCAGATGCCCATTTCCCATACAAATTTTGAAGCAGTCTCCCTTGCTTACTGTACACCTAAAACTGGACAACAAAAGTCAATTTGAAAACTATTCATTACGGTAATAAATTACATGATTTGGTTTTTATAAATGCTTAGGTTTAGTACTTAGTTGTTATAGTCTATTATTAATTAATGAATGAAAAATGTTGATTAGGCTAGTTAATAAGAAGTAAAAGTTGGTCGCTTTCTACTCGTAGCTAGTTGCTTCAGCTTTTGATGTTGACTTAGCCCTAGTAATTAGTAATAGATAACTAGCTAACAAAATTGACAATATGCTTTATTATCATTGCTTATTAAGCAAAAGTCAGAAATGTGTTCATTACTGCATACTACAGCTATTGAGCTGTATAATTCAGCGCAGTTAACTAGCTAGATTTTTACAGGTCCTGGTTTATAGGGACCATTTGTGACTATCTGTGACTTGCTGAAATTTAAAAAAAATAAAATTGTATTCTAAATTTTTTTACCCTGGATGGAGTCCACAGGAAATCTTTTTATTTACCAGTAATAAAAATCATCCGGCATCCCGCTTAAGAAACCCTAGTCGAGCGCAATGCTACTTCTTCACACAATACAGGCGTTAGTCTAATTTAAAGCCTAATTCACGATAAATGTAGCAGGCCCTTAGCAGCTATTGCCCCCACCAAGTTACTTGTAATATTAAATGATAAACTTAAATTTTCAGGTTTAAAAAAAAATAAAATCATGCATTTGTTCTTAAAACACCTTGGTCTTAGATACCTAGTACTTAGTATACATAAACTACCAGTGTTTGGCCATTAATTGCATCATTGTATTTATGCATAATATGCTATCATTCCAGTGGATAGATCCTATCTACCAAAATGAAAATATAGAGAATAATCATTTGTATAACTTTCAGTTAATTGAATTAATTATGTAATCCTTGAAAAGGGTGTGTTTTTTTTTGTGTGCATATGTATGTCTCAATGAGTTGTGGTTTTTGCCGGATTAATCACAAAGCATGTGATTTTATTAGTAGCATAAGCTTGCTCCATTTTAGCTGATCCCCCCTCATGACTCATCTAGTGATCCAAAGGGAATATCATCTGGATGATACAGCTTCACAACTGGGATATCGCAGGAGGAGCAGGAATTGCTGAAGTTTTCAATGAGTCAATGACATACCATCTATGAGACTCCATCTCTGTATTTTTCTATCGGGGTAACCCCCTTTAGCCTATAACAATGGGTTTGTAGCTGCAAGACAGCGGAGGTTAGCATTTAAAGTTTTTTTTTCTCCTAGATGAGCTACATCCAAGATTGATGAGTCCCATCAATTCGGAGTGCTGGTGTTGTTTTTGCTTGTCTCGGTTTTGCTGGGGTTTGAGCCATCCTGTCTTCCAGTCTTTTTTGGCTGTTAGGTCTATCCATTGAGTTGCATTATATAAAAAACCAAGGAATTGGCACATTTCTCAGTACTAGGCCCTATGCTTGAGTGTAAGAGTAAACAATCTATAAGTTGGTCTCAGGCATCACCAAACTTCTGCACGCCGCTGCCAACACATTCTAATAGTATTATTACCCTAAATAAGAAAACTATCAGATGACTTCATTTATATTATTTATAACAGTAATTTCCTTTGTTTTTTTCCAGCCTTTTCACTATGAATAAATTAGCAACAATACTCTTGTGTATTAACTTCATTACAGTGCTCTTCCCGCAACCAGGATACATTCATCCTGATGAGTTTTTTCAATCAACTGAAATTGTTGCAGGTAATTTTATGCATTATGCAGGTTATTTACAATTTACAGCATATTTTGTCAATAGTCATTGCATCTTTTAATGTTTCTGATCAATGTCTACTAGTCTAAAAGCTGTATATTCCCATACCGGTACAGATAGAAAAAGAGAAACCCCAATAAATTTGCTTCATCAATATGAAGATATGAATTAAACTAAAGAAAGTGAAAGAAAAGTATATTATCTGTTACACAGCTTTATCACACCTGAAAATAAACTGTTGGGAACACAATTTTGAAAACTGAGTTTTGATATCAAACAGTACCACAGAGTTAAAATTTTAGGAACGTATGTAGAATTACCAGGTACTTGTGACATTTTCTGTCACTTTATTTGAATCATTGTTTAACATTAGTAATTTGGGGTATATCCATATATCAATTTTATATTTTCATTTCAACTCCATGGGTGCTGATTCGGAATGGTTTTTTTACGGATACAATGAAAAATTTAACTTAATTTCAACCCCATTAAGTTTTACATAAATATTTCTCAGCCATAATTTAGTCACCTTCATGATGCCAAAATCTAAATGTAGATGAAAGAAAATGTAACCATATGCTTGAAGATAATATTAGTTTACTGATACCGGGTACTAAAATTAATATTAATTTTTATTCACCAGGTGATGTCCTCAATGTCACCCACTTCCGTGCATGGGAGTTCAATGAATCATTTCCAGTAAGATCTGTTGTGCCCCCCTATCTTATGATATCCCCGTCACTCTACTTCTTGCGATGGATAAATGGAACTGGTATTCCTGGGTTTCAGATGTCCACTGTCAAGGTTGTTATGGCCACCAGGCTTCCTCTAGCCTTCCTGAGCCTGTTTGGCTACTTAGCAACTGGAAAGCTGGCCACTGTGTTTAATGTTGACAAATACTTAAGCTGTGTTTTATACTGTAGTTCCTATGTCTCTTGGACCTACTTTACCAGAACATTCTCAAATTCAGTAGAATCGGTTTTGTTGGCCATAGTTCTGCTGTTGACTTGTTCAAACATAGATACCCAAGATGCTGTTCGAAAGCTCACAAAATTAAAGGCTAGTGAATCTCAACATGGCTCATCAAAATTAGACAGCAAGCCTGCAGCTGATGAAAACAAGATAAAAACTAACAGTAACAGTGAAAAACCAACCTTCAGGGATACTGACACTCAACCTCTGAAACCGTTGGAAGCAGAGAGTGATATGAAGTCATTTATCAAAGATAAATGTATAGAAGACAGAGAGAGTGTTGAAGCTTCTGAAAGTCATGAGCAAATCAGTCAATCAAGAGCTGCAGAGCTGTTAACTGACAATCAAAAGGCTGAATGTTTTCCAAGAGCAAAGATCTATTCAACTACTGACTCATGTTTTTCAAAATCTTTTATTTTGGGTATTATTATAGTTGCTGGATTTTTTAATAGGCCTACTTTTTTGGCGTTTTCCTTTATTCCTGTTTTATTCTGGTTGTGTCATAGCAACAACAGGATGTTATTCAGCTTGTTCTTTATTAGCTTAGGAGCTTCCATTTCATTCATCATTTTTGTTGTTCTTGACACAGTATATTATAATTCTGACATTATAAACATCATAAAAACAAGTTCCCACTTCCTTGCTAGTGGTGATTATTCACTTCAGTCTTTTGCAGCAAGCTTTAAAGTGTTCAAATCTGTTTTAGTCATCACACCTTGGAATTTCCTAAAATATAACACCAACACAAAGAACTTGGCAGAGCATGGCCTTCATCCTCGATACACCCATCTCCTAGTTAACTTACCTTTGCTTTTAGGGCCATTGTATTTCCTATTTTTGTTTTTATGCATTTTGACAACAGTTAAGTTTATTAAAAGATCACAGGATAATAATATGCTCTGGGTGGTTCTGATGGCAGCTGTTCCAATTATTAGCCTTTCAGCTTTCCCCCATCAGGAGCCCAGATTTCTCATTCCAGCTTTACCCTTCTTCATGGTAATAGGTGCTAAAGTGCTCGCTGGTCTATCAGCAGGAAAGTTTTCATTAATTGCCCTCTGGACAGTGTTTAACATAATATTAACTCTTGTATATGGCTACATGCATCAGGCTGCCCTGATCCCGGCACTCTCAATCTACCAACAGAGATTATCTACAATGCAGTCGTCCTTTGGGAATCACAGGGTCATCTTTTACAAAACATACCAACCACCCCGCCATCTGCTCCTTCTCAACCAGCCTGACTCACAAATCAGCATCCTTGATCTGGCTGGTGCCCCCATCAGTTCACTTATTGAGAAAATTAAAGCTGAAAGAAACACTTGTATCCAATCAAAAGCAAGCTGTCATGTCAGTGTGTTTCTCCCATCCACCATAACACCTTTGGTTCTAGAGTCTCTGTCCAAGTACAAAGTGACCACAACCACCATCTGTCCTCATTTATCAATGGAAGCACCGCCCAGGTTTAAACTCTGGTGGGAGAAGCGAATCAGTTTTGATGAATTTATAATGGATTTTTGCTTGAACATTCTTAAAATATCTTGAAATTTAAAGTAGACATTGACAGTATGGTGCTAGCATTGAAATTGGGAGCTTTCAATAGTTTCAGTGGCTATAGAATCTTCACTGTCATAGGCCATAGTTTTGAATACATGAATACCTTCATTATATTTTGCATATTAATTTTTCAGATTTTGGTGGAAATAGTACCGATATGTTAATTTATTTTTGGATATAATATTTTGAAATTAACGCCTGCAAATGGCTGTTGAAAATGATGTACGGATATTATATAATGAGAATACAAGATTTAAAAAGTGTATTGGATAAAAAACAGCACTAGAGTGATAGCAAAGCCAAATCTCGCTAACTTAACTTATTAACAGGTATATAATAGCAACGAATGGGAGCTCATTGCCGAACAATGTTCCAGCTGGTGAACAACAGTGTATGTAGGAGTAAAAAAGGCTGAAGATACACAAAACGAGGCCCTTGCAACAAAAAGAACATTACGGTAGTCAAGATCTTACCAGGAATCAATATTCTCCTGCGAGAAATGCAGTCAAGATTAATATTCTAGGAGTGGCCTAGTGAGCCACTTGTCGAAGTGTAGGACTACATAGCTACTCCATCGTCTCACGAAGATGGAAGGATGCCATATAGAAAGATAGATAGAAATAAATTTATGTAACCTTGATATCATTCTGGTTACACATACTGCGATGGGCTTATGTCTGAATTAAACAACCCATAAAAACAAAGTTTTTTGAATAAATTCTTTATAAAATGTAAAGAGAAATATGGGGATGGAGCTTAAAATTTGAAACCAATTGGGATTCTTATGTACTATAGTGTGTTACTTGTATGCATGTTTTGACAGACTTTTTTTCACGCTCCTGAACTATATTGATATTATAATGACCCATCCGGTTTTACTCAGCAAATTAATTTCACCAAATATTTCATAAAAAACAAACGAAAATATTACACGCCAAATGTACTTGCGATTTTTTTTAAATCTCATTTAGCAGTTATTGGGAATTTCATTTTATCTTCCCCTTGAAAAACAAATTTTTGGGGGGTTGGGGATGAAAATAGAATGTGTTGTCATTGTCAATGAGTCTTTGTGCCAAATTTCAACTCGATTAGTGTGACAAGAAGTTGGTCCATTTGCCGTCCGAAGATTGTGCCACCCACAAACAAAAAATGTAATATAATTGATTTAAAAAGACAAAGCAATTGATATAACTGTATCCAACCAGCACTAACATTGTATTAATTAACCGTCCTGCCATGTGCTAAATTCTCACATAAATGATGGCGTGTGTGCTAGGATATTACTACCAATTGTACGGTTAGACAATGCGCTTATGTCTCAATTGTCATTTGTGTATGTTGGTCATATTTTGAATAACATTTTAACAGCAGCATTAATCCCTGTGTTTATTGAATGTTTGTACTACCTGGTACTTTGAATAGCCTGTCCTGTTATATCTATTCAGATATTGTCCTTTTCTTCAGCTTTTTTCTTTCGTTTGTTCCATTTCTGGTTACCATACAACAGGAGTGGGCAAACTACGGCCCACGTGGCCGCTGCGGCCTGGCAACTGATATTATGTGGCCCTCCAGGGCATTTAGAAACAAAAATGTTTACTTCGTTTTAAGTTAATTTAATTGAATTTTACAGAATTTCATGAACAGTTACTGTATGATTGTTTAAATATTTTTTATAAAATGTCTTTCTAAATTTCTGTTTTTGTAAACAGTCCTTTAAAATTCAAATGTATTGATCTTAGTATAGAGAAATATTTATTTAAATGTAAACATTTAATAAGGATGATTTTATGAAAAACAGATATTTCTCCAGTGAATAAAATGATTTATTTTTCAAGAAATTATTAAAATTTAAACTTTTTTTTTTTTTTTTGCTGTTATAATTATTTCCACATTTACAATGTTCAAATAAATTTATTTAGTGCAGTGGTCTTGATATATTTCTAAAATTTATTCTGAGTTTACTCCTTGTTGTCCAAAAATTTTATTTTCACACACAGCTGGAAGTAGGTTTTGTTTCATTTTCTTTTTACAGTTCCGTAAAATTCTGTCAGAATCTTATTAAAAACAATGAGTGTCACTAAAAAACATGAGATTGAACAGGAATGTCATGTTTCTAATGATGAATGGACAACTAAGTAGTGGTTTATAAAAGTTGGTTGCTAATCAGTTTGCTTGTTGTGTCGTGAGCCAATGGCTGTCTTCAAGAAGTACAATTTAAAAAGATATTACTAAACTACATTCCGGTTTCGGATACAATTTTACAACCGAAGGGAGGGAAAGGAAACGCTTGGAGCTGGTGGCAAATTTGGACAAACAGCAATCTGTTTTCACTTAAGTCTTCAAATTAAGACACTGCAAAAGAAGCTAATCTTGTGCTGTCACACAGAATTTTAAAACAGAACCAGCCATTTTTCTGAAGGCAAGTTCATCCAGGAATGTTTGCTAGATGCAGCAAACATTATGTGTCCGGAACACACAAAAAACAAAAAAGACTGTGGTCGAAAGTGTTGACAAGATAAATGGCAATTTGATGCATAACTTCAAGATACAAGTACCGGTACACAACTTTTGTGGTATTCACTTGCATAGCATGAGAGTACCAATGTACATGATACTGCCAAATATTTGTATTTATACTTGGAATAAACACTTCTTTCAAACTCACTGGAGAGTTACTGAGTGTTGAGTCACTCAAAGACAAAGCCACAATTCTAGGGACAATGTAGTCGGTTTGTGTCTAAATTAAAGCCATTGATAACATTGATAGATTATACAAATTTTAAAATGGCAAAATCTTATTAAGAAAATTAGTAAAAGTTTGTGTCCATATTGTAAAATTTAAGGCATAAGTGTACCGGTGTAAGTAAATTAAAATTGCAATAATTGGTCATTTAAATCTTAAGAAAATTAGTAAAAGTTAGTGTCCATATTGTAAATAATAAAAATTGTAAAATCTTGTTTAAGAAAATTAGTAAAAGTTTGTGTCCATATTGTAAAATAAAATGCATAACTGTTTAAGTAAATTAAAATAATTGGTTATTTATACCTATAAATAATTCATAATTACTTACTTTGATATGTTGCTGTAACTGTAAGCAACAGAGATGTATGCAGCCCCCCAAAAGCTTTACATTTGTCAATGTGGCCCTACACGCAAAAAGTTTGCCCACCCCTGCCATACACTATACTATAAGAACAAATAAAGCTATATTTCTCAAGACCTGATTTCCTTGGATTTTTACACTGAATTTAAAAACTGTAAGCCACCAACCAATCACCAACTCACCACTTGCCTAAATTTCATTAGAATTGTTCTTTGCTGCATGTGCCACTACCAGGTATTGTCCCAAAGCTTAGAAAGGGGTGGGGGGAGTGTTGAGACCAGTGTGTTGAACTGTGTTGAGACTGGCTAGTTCACAATCTCTATTTTGACCATCCCTAAAAAGGGCATACACCTCGACCACAGGTGCATCAAAGGCCAGAGGTGGGAAAAGTGTCTTGCCTTTTCCACCCTTATTCCATCTCTTCTATTGTAGTCACACAGAGCTGGCTATTTTTGTGTCGAAGTCTGTTCTCCCAAGTTGGCTTGCTTGAGTCTCATTCGTATTGTGTTATTGTTAATATAAAAAATATATGGTTCGGAGAGTGTTAATGAGCTTTTCAAATACAGGTAAGTGATATGTTATTCACTTGTCTTTGATTTTATTGGATAATTAAGTACTGGTAATCTATTTTTATTTTGCATTAGTTGATTGAAACCATTTGTAATATAACTATTGATATTGTCACCAGTATTTTGGTATCAGCTTTGAAATTAAAAAATGCATTACATTTAGATTTTTTTTTATGATACTAAAACTGTTTTTTCTTGTGCTGTTGTAAATTTTGTCTACCCCGGTACTGGTAATTGCCATATAACTTAGAATGATCTTACAATTTTAAGGGGGCTAATTAACAAAAAATAAACAACTCAAATATTTTGAAAATATGCATTTTATAAAGATAAATTATTGATCACACTAGTTTCAACAAGTCACTGCCCATGTAACCATCTGCCAAAGGGTCCTCGTACAGGGGTCGTCATTGACACATGGTTCATCTTGAAATCCAGGCTTGATAATTCAAAGACAACATATTTCAAATTCTGATCCCTTCAGTCTTGTTATTGTAATAGAAATTAAGAGACTTAAAATTCAAAGATGAGTTTGAGAAAATGTGATCTTTCTCGTGAGCTCTTTGAGGTACAGATGCGCCACCCTGCAGCTGCTGGTGTAGAAGAAGGCATGGAAGGCTTAAGAATGCAAAGAGAAGGGAGTGGACTTGGGCAGGAATGTACTTTAAAAGTGATATGAATGACCTCAATAAACATGGAAGGATATCCCTGTTTGGTCTCTTACTCTTCTTATGCACTGAAATTCATAATGAACTAATGAGGTAGACAAAGCCATAGTAGTTAAGAAATCACTCGGTAACCTATTAGAATCAATTAAAGTGAAACAAAATTTCTACAAAGGCTGATGCAATTCTTTTTCTATAAATTATAAATAATGCACACTTTTATCCATTCACGTCGGATGATCACCTGATTGACCCACAATGTTTAATTTTCTTTCAGGTAGGATAGAGGCATCATTTTCCATTGTTTTATCTTTTGGATTAGATGTGTGGTCTCTACGAGCTTTGCTGTGATCAAATCTTAAATAAGAAAATATAGTATCTACAACTAATGATATCATATTGTCAAATAAAACTCTGTATTTAGCGGGCATAAAGTAAAAGTTTATAGCAAGAGCTGGTGACCAAAAGACAATATCAGTTAAAAACATAAGAACACCAGTGTCCATGAACTCCTCTTTAAGCAATTCTAAACCTTGCTGCTCAATGATTCCAATAGTTAAAAGAAAAACTGTTACACAAATAGGTGAGAAACAAAGTTGATCCAGAGCAATCTGAAAGTAAAATAAAAGGATTTCTAGAAGTTAGAATGCACAAACAAAGATAATGAATCTGATAGCATTGAATTGGTTGATACTTACTTAATGATTTAAATTCCACTAGAGCAGAAGTTAACAAATGTCAATATACTATCATTAGGTTTGCACCAATAAACAAATTGGCTGATTGCTGATAAAACTGCCCTCCTTAATCGAAAGACGATTATGTATTTTGTTTTAAAATGTCTACAGTAATCAAGAATTGCCAGTAATTTACAACTTACATGTTCATAACTGTTCATAACTTTTATTATTCTTTAGCTTTAAAATATTTTTTAATTTAAAAACACTTGGGGCTATTGTAAAAATTGACCCTTTGTATTCTGGGGAGTACGATGACCTACTGGTGACTGTGAAAAAATGCAAATTACAATGGTACGGCAACGTAACAAGGAAACAAGGGCTTGCAAAAGAAATATTGCAGGGAACCACAAGAGGAGGGAGAAGAAGAGGAAGACAAAGAAAAAGGTGGGAGGATAACATCAAAGAGTGGACAGGACTAACACTGGGCAATGCAGTGCGTAGTGCTGAAGACAGAGAGGAATGGAGGAGGATGGTTCACATGTCATCTGTGGCGCCCCAACAGTCCAAGGACTAAGGGACATGAGGATGAGGAGGATTCTGAACAAAGCATCACCTCACTAGCTGCTGCTTCCCTTGAAGTGCCAAGTGGTCATAATACACATTAAGTACTTTTCTTATTTGATTTAAATTTCTAAAAATATTAGCATAATATTAATAATAAGTTATATACTGGTAATCAAATATATGAATCTGGATTATTTGAAAGCACAATCTATTTTAAGGCATGGTCACAATATAAATGCACAAATATAGTACATGTACTTCAAAATTATAATATTTTTAGTAATTTTAGCAAATGTGGTATTACTAATTGGAAATAACTAAGCAAAGCCACCAGAAGAGTGGTTATTAAATTCCTGACATTGACAGCTAAGAAAACATTTGTGCTAATGTCTGCTGTGCCATTCAACATTGTTTTTTCAAAACAGGCGGGATTGTGTGTGTATGTGTTGTTAGGATAGTTTGTTTGTTAAATATTTTTTTAATCTGATTAGCGGTCCAGAAAAATTAGCAAATAATTGTGCAACCATATGTTTTAGTTAAAATATATTACCTTTTTAAACAGTGATCCCAATGTCCTTGCAGGGAACCATTTATCCAAATAGAAGTACCAATAATGAACAAGTGGACCAAAAGCTAAACCTGAAGCAGCCATTTTTCCTGTTCTCTTTATATCCCAAAACTTATCTGGATCATTTTGGATACGCTGGTAATTTTGTTGTATCAGGTCTCCACCAATGGACACACTTACACTAAGGCCAGTGTTTGTGAATAATAAATACTTGGGTGAGAATAATAATCTGCCACTACGCTGGAGGGATCTGAAGACAGGGCGAACTGCAATGGAGGCTAGTGATAATGCCTTGTTCATTTTTTATTTATTTCTCTTAAATTATTACTAGTAAAGACGGGTTGAATTTGAATATCTTTAGTCAAGATGATGAGAGATTTTTTTGAATGAAGTGTAATCTATCAACCTCAACATACACAATGTGTACATTTTAGTTTTGAAAAACTTATGCCTCATAAATTTGGGATGTTAATTGCTGTTAATGCTAATATTTTTTAAATAGTTTTCTCAGTTCTTAATACAGTAGGCAATGATTTCTGATTTCTTTGTAGCATTACGGGAGACTGCTTACTACAGTTTCATGAGAATTTTTATATGAAACATATTTTTAGCCTTGAGTGTCACAAACAATAACATGTCCTTTGTTTTTTTGCTTTCTACAATCTGAAGAAGAAAAAAAGAGAAACACCTGGTAGTTAATAGATTAAGTTTTAAATTTTATTTTAATTAAAATCAGTTATAATTATTCTGCTTTGTTGTACCCAATCAAATAAATTCATGAAATTGCAATTACAATTACATTTATTTTTTCTCGTTTCACTAAACTGAACCAGCTTTTCTAAAATTGATAACTGAAGTGTATTAACAGTTTTTTGTTGAGATTAGCAATTTTCTAAAAAATATTATTAATACCGATATAGCACACAATACTTGTTTTAATATATTAATGTACCGGTACCAGTATCTTTGTAAGATTGGTACCAGTATATAATAATGTGCAATTTAGTTTAACATTTTTAAACTTGCCCAACAATAATCAAAATGATGATAGGTGAATTAAGGTTATAAAGTAAAAATAATTATTTATGATTTGATAGTGCATTAGATCATTGATATTAGCCTAGGCTTAAACGAGGGCCATGGGAACTAACTTTTATTATATTAGTTTGCCTATCTATAAAATCAATACGTCATACTGCATCCTAGTTTGCAGGCCTGCACCTAGGAAATTCTGGGCTCCAGGCAGCTGACAGAGTTCTGGCCCCTTTCGTGTTTCAAACATGCGTATATTTTAAAACTCGAAAAAGGGCGGGCCCCTGTCACATGCCATGGTTGTCCTCCCACCCCCAAGGTGTGGGCCTGGATAATGACAACATTACTTTGGATGATGGCTAACCACAGTCACTGCAAAGAACTGTAAATGCTGTTGAGAAATGTTCCTACCAATTTCGTCTGGTACCATACTTGGGAACAGTGCCAGGGCAGGAGTTCAATCAGAATGAGCTCAATCACTAAGCTGAATAAAAAATACTTCAATCACAAACAAAAAATAATATTGATAAATAATAAGGGGAAGAGACTGCAATCAGTGAAAGAAGAGAGGAAAAGTAAGTCCACGGCGATTGGTCAACATTTTTCCTCTCTTCTTTCCCTTTTTGCATGTGTTTAAACCTACTTATTAACTGTCACATTCCAATTGCTGCTCTCTCGGATACTATATTTCAGCCAAGTGTTTTTTTAATTTAATTCTGTTGTTACTAATAAATAATAAGTAACCATTCAATCAATCCATCAAAAAAATTTTTTACACATTAATTAAGATTGCCCTACTGAATCTTCATTCACTATTACTATTAGTGGCATAGTTATGAGCTGAAAAAAATGGGTAATCTCAAATTTTAAACTCATAAATTAAAGGTATATAAGTATAACTAGTGACCGTATTTGATACAATAATTATCTACTTGTTTCCCATTCAGAAATTACTATAAAACACATTTTGTGTAAGATTAAAAAATGTACCAGTAAGTCTACTCAGATAATTATTTAGTATTCATGATAATTATTTGGTATTCATTTCATTCATAAAGTGATAATTAATTAAGAATTATTAATATTAAAAAATACATTATTTGTTTCATTTGTATTGAATTTATGATGCTAAAATACAATTTTACCAAAAAATATATCATACATCAGTATCATCATTTATAATAATTGAGATCGATTCATGCATGGTCAGACATGACTCCTAATAATAATCATAATTTTAATTATTGAATTACAGGAACTGGCACAGTACTTTCAAAAGTTTCAAAAAGACTAAGAGTCTTAGTAACAAATAATATGCTAATCATTACAATGGCATCACTAAGGATAGAGCCACTCAGGCCCGGCAAAGATTTTTGACGTGCCCCTCCCACACAATAACCTCTGTAGATGTCCAAAAATGCTGCCCCTTAATTTTTGGGTTAATGGAATTAAAGTACAGACAGGAAGACAGCCCCCCCCCCCCACCCCCCCCACGTCCCGGGCCTTTCTAAACTAGTCATTTATAATCATAGTCATTGCCATATCAAAAATACAGTAATAGTATGCGCAAACAGTACTGAAACTCTTGCATCTTGAACGCCAATGTGGGTTTGTCAATGGTGGAGATCTCCAGTTGACACAATTCCCATAAGTCTTAATAAAGATATGTTCAGCTGTTTTAGTTGAAAATAGGTCTCTCAACAGAGAAAAATGTATCAATAGCTGACCACTATTTTTGCTCAAATGTAAGTTATCTTCAATAGGGACAGAGTTTGAAAAGTTGGCAGGACAATGCCAAGATTTAATGAGATGTCACCAATTAACATGGTTATGCCGTCTGTTCTAACAAAAATTTTCAGTTCTTTAAGTGTACTGGGAAGGGAAAGCCTTGTTGACCAGAAATGTTTATAATATAAGTTGAGAGAATAATGCATGTGCTTTGGAGCACAGGCTTCATTCACCCTCTATAGTCTAAGGCGACATTCTTGAAACTAAACATAAGTGAAAACCTCATTCGCTGATTGTTTAAGGGCATAGGTACATTTTAGATACAGGTTGGGCATTTGACGGAGCCAGATATACGGGGGAGAATTGTGTAGTGTGGAACATTTATACACATTGTTTATGAGGATTGATTCAAGTTTTTTAGGAATGTGTAGTCTCCAACCAAAGTCCAAAGTCAAATTCACTTTGAAATTTCGTAACAATGTACTGTATAATTGTATAACTGGTGCTGTCTTTTTAAAACTCTTTCTGAATTTGTTCTGCCAGCATTTTAAAATTCAGTCCTCATTTACATTTACATATGAGCCAAAATAAGGGTCAACTGGGAATAACAATAACAAATAGTAAATAACATATCCTTCTTGTGATCTCTGTGGGTAGGCACTTTGATTAAAATTTCAAAACATTTTTAAAATATAAAAATACTACAGCTGTATAGAGCCTACAGAATAGATTACAAAAACACCAAGATCAACTTTCTAGCTCAAGTGGTTCAAAAGTTATGAATTTTTTAGTAGGGACCTCAAAAGCACTTTTTTACTATGGGATTTTCCTCCACATTTCGTGACCCTCATTTTGGTTTTTTTTTAAGGCCTATAACTTTATTATAAAATGAGACAAAAATATAATATTTACAGGGAACATATTTTAATTAGAGTACTTCTAAATAAAACCACAAAATATAAGTTAGTTTTGTTAATATACCGGAAAAATTATTATAAAAATCTTTATATTTTCCTATTAAAAATATATAAAATATGCTGACTCGTCACTTATTCATAATTAATTAATTAATTATGTATAAATATTTTTTTTCAATTTCCCAAAAATCATAATAAATATTCTTAAGATATTAATTTCAAATTTTCTGTGGAATTGTTTAAAATGTATAAGTATATACTAATAATAAAGGGATTATTTGTTTCAATAAGTTAAAATTGACTATTACACTTTTTATTTTACCATTTTCTATATAATGTATTTTAGTCCCATACCATATGAATGTGTGAATATGACCAAAAATAGTATGTCATTTATTTTAAGTTAGATAAGTTGTTTAACAGATCAACATTTATTGATAGAATCAACTTTGGCTGTTGATAGAATTTTAAATAAGTTCTAGTTATTTGCTTGAGGTAATTACAATGTTTTATTATTAAATTTTAGTAATATCTCATGTAATTCTTGGATTATTGTGGCAGAAAGTGTGTTTTTTCTTTGAGAATACTGAGGATTATATTATATAATAATTCTCTTTTGGAATAGTGTAATATGTGATTAAATATAGGATATTTCAATACAAAAGGTAAGTAAATATTTTTTGTACATTTTTACTTAATTTATGCCTTAAGAATCACCATATATATCATAACATATGAATAATGGGTCCTACAAATAATTATTGGAGGGGGGGGGGGTAGGCCTACACTTATAATAGTAATACTATTCTAGGCCTCTATATATACATACATAGGCCTACTTATATAAGTTATATATATATTATATATGTATATATAGTATATGTATATATATATAGTTAATAGTATACATATAACAGTATATAAAACTAATAGTTAACTATTATTTGTAATTAATTAGGCTTTTTTAACCTAATATCCCTCAATAAAAGCATCAAATAATATTAAAAATATGTATTTGTTTTATTAATTATTTTATTTTTATTTTTAAATGAGTTATTAGGGGGTAATAGGCTGGATTTCCAGAGTAAATTAGGTTATTTACCATAGCAAAGAATATTAACGATAATAGGTAATTTTGGGACACACGTGATTTAAATTTCTGAGTGAATTTATGACCAAACTGATGGGCCTAAATTAGCATGTCCTGGATATGTTGTAGCTAATGACATTATTTATAAAGTCCCTGAAATTCAAACAAAATTTCCACACAAAAAATATGAATGAGTAAAAATTGCATTATTTTACCTTGAATTTTAAAAGTGAAGCCCCAAAGTTTTTTGGGGGACTCAAGTGTCTAATCATAACACAACATGTCTACTCTAAGTCTAATTTGTGGGCGGAAATCGAATTTAAATGCTGGGCTATAAATAGTTAAAAAGTCGTAAACAACGTGACTCTCGGTAAATTAAGAAGTGGAGGTCACCATTTTGACAACGAAATCAAGATACCCCATTTTCTGCACTTTCCTGATCTTACCGAACTACCTACTATGGCTACTGGGGCTATTCACCATTGACAAACTCATTTTTTATGATATATGTTCAAGATGCAGGATTTTCAGTTACTTTTGGCCCATGGTGTAGAGTGTACTGTATATGTATAGTATAGTATATATAAAATTAAAATACTTGGACTTGACTTAAATATTTTAAGTTTTATTATGTCATGATTCAAATATAGATAGACCAATCAATCATATACCACTAATTTCACTAATATTTAATACTAATAGTAATAGTAATAACGTTACTTTTTAATAATTTGTAATTGTTATTCAATTTATTCCAAGAAACAATATTATTATTATTCAAATCAATTGTCAATACTCACTCAATAGGCCTAATAATATCGGCCTAATAAATAATAATAAGTTTAGTTAAGTTTAATAACTAAACTTAAACTAAAATACGACTACGAATAATTATTTAAATTTACTTACTAAAAACCATGTTTTAAAGTTAAAGTCATAAAGAATAAATGAACCCGATAAGCATAGAATAATCCAATGAATTTAACTAAGAATAAAATTGACAAATTTATGATAAGTGGAAGTAATACCGGTACTGATGATGAGGATGGGCGATGTCGTTTCGCCATGGTTTTGCCCTTATGGAGCATCACACTACTTTCACTTCTGAGTTTCCGAGGGTTACGTTGCTGTCACTACATTAAGGGCGGTGGAAACCTTAAGACCCAACAAATGGTTTCACGCAATTTAGATCTGGGGACAGCTAACTTTTTTTTGTGTGATGAGCCATCTAAAGATTGGCAACTCCTGTGTGAAAGAAAGAGCATATAAAGCCTTTATCCATCCGATTTTAGATTATGCATCTTCAGTCTGGGACCCATGTACCCAGAAGAGCATTGACAGGTTGGAGGCGGTCCAGCGACGAGCAGCACGCTTTGTCCTAAACCGCTACAGGAATACCTCTAGTGTTGGCAGCATGCTAGAAACACTAGGCTGGTCACAATTGGAGAAACGACGACGACAATCCAGGCTCTCCATGATGTACAAGATAAATAATGGGCTGGTCCACTGTTCCAGTATTAAACAGAAACTCGTACCTCTCCCCCATAGACAGCGACGAGGCCATGACAG